GTGCGCCTGGGCCGGGATTTCAGAGGTGCTTGAAGGCCAGAGGTGTCGACGACTCCGGCATGCAGCGGCTTCTCCCGGAGACCTCAGCTCCAATGTCTTCCGAGTGTTACTGCTGGCTCCTGCGATGCCGCTGAGGCTGGGGGGGGGAGCGTCCATGCGGGGATGCCTGCTGGGACAGGTCAGGCCATGGGTGTACCTGTGAGCTTCTGCAGTCAACAAACCCGGACACAAACCAGTCTCACCGAGATAATCGGATATTCGCAATCCCCACAGCTACCTCTATCATTCCTCAGCTAACGAGCCTGTTGTTTTCCCTGCTGCATTCAGAGCCACATCTGTGCCGAATGTTTTAAAGACCGCAGCACGACTCCAAATAGAGCAGGCTATTTCTGGAGCTACTGGAAATGAGTCAAAAAAACAACTGCAAACAGAACGTCAATGTTTCACAAAGAACCACGCTTAGTATTTCTCCTCAATGTATGCGGCAACAACAGCTGTATTCTGCCCAAGCAATGTTTCACTGCGTACAGCAAATTGGCATGAAACACGAGTGGACACAAACCTTTAAAGTATTAAGTACAACCTTGGTAAAAAAAGGACAGGAAAAATGCATCTATTAAAAAAATGCTCCAATTATTAACAGTGTCACCAATTAAAAGAAAAATATATTTACCTACAATGAAACAGATTCTTCTCTCCTTTACCCAGAAAGGAAACAATTACTTTCATGGCTAACATCATGGATTTTCCTTGACCAAGCAGTAGCAAGAGTTAATTAAACCCATGCCGGTAATGAAGTGTAAACTCATCAGATTCACTTTTGTAATTAAGATACAGGCAGAGACGTTCATTTCCGATATAGGTCCTTTTAATCAGAAAATACGTAAGGCAAAGCAGTAAATGTTGAATTAGACATGGCAAGCTGATCAACTTTACAGACTGCATCCTCAGGCGAAGGATATTTTATTACTATTGTTGTAAAGCGTTAACCCCTTTTTGATGAGAGGCATGAGGAACTCTCTGATTTAGTGATTTTATCCATGCAGACCTCATTGCAAGACTGGGGCCATAATTCCATAGAAGATTATTCATACACCCGGAGTGGGAGAAAAGACACTGGTTCATGGAAGCTCTGGAGCTTCTCAGCATGTTAATGTACTTACAAAAATGGGACGTGGATCAAGGAAGTTTTACTTCTAACACAGCAGAGTATCATTTATACACTTCTTCCTTCAGCCCTCAGCTTTCCTGAAAAATCTTGCGCACGCTACTACCTCTCTCGCCTGTTCTTACTGATGCCATTGGCGAAACTCCTTACTTAAGGAGGTGCACTCGAGATCCAAAAACTGCCGGATCAGTCAAAGGTTTAAAGAAGATGGGAGGAACCCAGCACCAGCAAGCTGTCCTAACATGACCTAGGGACAACAAGCTTTACGCGTGCCAGCATTCCGACAGGGTAAACACCACTGATAATAAGCAGACCTGGATGCTTGCAAAACCACGCTAGTGGAGGGAAACCTCCCCGAAGGAATCCTGTCATGCTGGTAAAGGAAGTGTATTTTTGTCACCAGAAATCGTGTTGATGCTCAGGCTTCTGCTGACATGGCAGCGTTTGTCAGAGCTCACTGCCCCTGCACACCCCAGCTGCCGCAGCTCTTCCTACAGATTATACTGCTTCAAGGAGCTGCTCTAGCTCTACCAACGTATGGCCAGCCTATGTTGGTGTAACCATCTATGCCAGACTTTCATCCCCTATAGACGTAGCTATACATAACGAAAGCGTTAAGATCAAGCATAAATGTCCCGTACGTGAAGAGGAGCGCTGCACAATCAGAGCTCAGCCATCTCAGGCAGACAAAGAGTTGCTTGGGAGGGCACTGCAGCAAACACGAGCTGGAGCAGCTTAAAAGAGCTGCTTTAAGATCCATAGAAGATGAGTTTCTTCTACAAGCCTAGCTTTTGCAGTATTAATACGTTATCACCTCCATTCCTCTGCCAGAGCCTTATCTTGGAGCAGAGTCAGCACAAGAGAGCACGTCCTTGGGCCTCAAGCGCTGCTGTTCACAGCCCAGAGCCATACCTCAAACTTCCTTTCATTAGCTTGGTAATGCATACGGGGGTTTGCTTTCCACATCTCGGCAGCAGATGCTTCCTCTGCCCTCAGAGAGGGATCCATCTAAACTGACTTCCCCAAGACAGCAAATTAGGCCAGTCTCCAACCACGACACAAAGCAGCTCTAAGGCACAGATCTCAAAGGTTATTCAAGCCCTCCTTTGAACCACCTCATCATGCTTCCTGGCTAGAAAAAGGACTAGAACGGTAATGCTTGTTTTTCTGTTCCTCCTCAATTTGACGATAATTTTACCATACGAATGACTCGGCCAAGACTCAGCAAACACAGGACAAGAAGCAGAACTTCATCCTAGCTCTTTCTTGACCCTCTTTAAGATAGGAAAAGTGAAATCCTCCCCTAACTTGCATACAGAAGAATTGCTTCCAGTCAGATCTCTGTGACTCTCTGATGCTCCTGATCCAAATAAGACACTTTTTCTCCATAGTAAGTACTAAATGTAAGTTGTTTTTCTTCAGCTTCATCCACCCCTTCCCCTCTTTAAAAAAAATTTTGAATGCTAGTGTAAAGGTAGCACTAGCATGGCATAAGCAAGGCCCTGCCCTGACCAGATGGATTTGACAAGCTCCTCCAGACTCCAAAACCAGCTTCTTCAAGACCCCTTTATTCAAATTCCTAAGTATATTTCAAGTCAGACTGCTAACAGTCCTTAAAAAAAAAACCCAAAAACCAAACCAAAAAACAACTCCAAACCAACCCCCAAACCTCCCCCAAAACCCCAATCAATCAGCATATAGCAGGAACTCTCTAATTTCACTGCAAGTTTATGGTCTCAACACAATGCAGAAAATGGGCGTGATCTTTGTTTAGCAAGAGGGCTATTTATTACAGCTTGTTTTAAAAGAAAAAAAACCAACACCTCGACACTCTCTGTCCCAAACTCAGATACGACACAAAACCACCGGTAGGAGAGCTGTCCTTAAGGATGTGTCCAAAGGAATGCAGGACACTAAAGAAATTCTTCACTGTTCAGAAGAGTAACACTGCCACCTACTAGGGAAAGGCAAAATACATAAGCAGGTCACCACCTCCAAGGAAACATTTCTCTGGCTATGAACAACAAAAGACAGGGGAGATAACTGAAGTGCCATTTTTAATTCTGCCTTGCCTCGCTATTCAGTTATTATCTAGAGATTTCAGCTTGCTGGAGATCATTTTTTCTGAGACAGGATTCAATTAAATTATGACAGATCTCACGTGTTATACAAGCTGCTGTGTACCAGGAACTACTCCAAACGCAGAGCATGATTTCAGACCCTATTCATTGGTTTGATGGCATGGCTTAACCCAAGGTTCAATAATAAAAGGGCCAGTGAATACACGCTATGCGAGTTACCTGTCAGTTCTCTACGACTAGGAGACGGATGTTTACGTCAGTCATTTCTTGGCACAAAATATGATCCCAGGGCTACACCAATTTAGTGTGGTCAGACGCATGCTGATGGGAGAAACAGTTCATAAACTGAGTAACAGCCGACACCGAGTCACCATGACAGCTGCTGCCCAAAATACTGTAAAGCACCCTCGCCCAGATGCTGCAGGACTGACCACTTTACAGATCGCAAAAAGCATTTCTGACCTTCACTGTCATAAACACTACCTAAAAAATTAAGACACAGTCTGTCAATCAATACCCAAGTCTGAAAATGCACAGAGAACAAATGCTGAACATACAGGTTACCTCAGCTGTTTGAGTCGCTGCATATCCACCCCATCACTTTGTGCTCTGAAATCCAGAAAAGTGTCCAAGGCAACACCGACACTTTTATTAAAGACTCCAAAACTGCGCTGCAGCCAGTTGCCTGGAATACCCCCTAACCTGCTAAGATCACCCATAAATTCTTAGTCTGTTCCTCGGTGTAGAACTGGATGGTATCACGTTCCTACTACTGCTTGTAATTTTGAAAGAGCAGGGCTAAACACAGGTTATACACTTCTGCTAACAGAGATACATGAGTCCGGAGTGATCCCTCACCAGCACAAGAAACAGCAACCCCTAATAAAACTGCAGTTACTCGTCAAGGTTCTTTCTTTAATTGTACAGTACGTTTCACGCCTGTAGGCTGTGCCTCTTTGCTCAGGTGCACTTCGGGAGAAATTTCCTTTTCAGGCTGGTGAAACACTTCTATCACAAGCAGTCGGAGGCCAGACGTGTGAGGAGGCCGGAGCACAAGCCGGCAGCTACACTACCTGCAAGCCCCCCCTTCTCTGTGGGGCAAACGAGACTGAGGAAGGAACCAGGCTCCCTGAGCACCGCTCCCTGCAGCAGCAGTTAGCTGTAGTGAGCTACCCGAGTATGCAAAGAAAACGCAGTGCACGACAATATGCATCGTTTCCGAATCTGGGCTATGATGTTCAGCACATCGCTAAGACTCCAGCAGGCGCCAGAGTTGTGTCTGTCACACACGTGACAAACATCTTCAATGCAGACATTCTGCACAAATTCTTGAGCTCTGCATGCAATTACAAGGCTCTTTCAAGGCTACAAAAATAACCCCCTTATTATTTCGGAGGAACCAGATGACCTTTTTTTGTCCTTAATGGCCATCAATAAAAAATTACTAAAGGAAGATACCAGATTAAATCGGCTACTGAACTGTGACAGCATGCGAGCTCCAACAGGCAGTCTTGACGGCCTTACTGAGCCACCCCACTTCTCTGTCTGAAACAAAAAGGAAGTGGTAGGAAAATGCTCCCACATACAGGGCAATAATGAGTACACGGCACGTGCACTTAGACTAAATCCTTGTTTAGAGAAAGCAATAGATGAGTAAAAATAGTCCTAGGAAGGTTCTGTTTTTTGAAGAAAAACTCAATCAATCATAAGAATAATTAAAATCTTCAGAAGGAAAACATAAGACAAGAACAGTCAGTGATGACACTTTTTAATTTGATATGGCCAGACTTTTTCAAAGTAACTTGTAAAACCAACAGAGTAAGACAGAACTAGAGGATAGGCAAGTTTCATATTTACAGTCATTCAAAAGTAATAGTGTAAAAGCATCTTAAATAGTGGTGACAGAAGCATGGAAACATACAAAGAATAATCTTTTTTAGAACATTATTAGAATTTTATTATATTATCTTCTTAACTATTAAAAGAATCTCTTGCATTTTTACTGCCTGATGCTAATTCACCAACTGCTCCTCAAAACGACTTGTGATACAAAAGAAAAAGCCACTTTTTCTGTTTGTAAACAACAAAAACACCTGCTTTTGTTTTTCCAGACATTATTGAAGTGGCACAGCAGAGTTAACACTAATGCTCTATTCTTTACCATTAAATAAAAAAAAAAAAACAGTTGGGCAAAGGGAAAAAAACAGACCAAGTCAGCGTAATCATTCAGTTGGATTCTGGATGACAATCAGGAAGTAGTCTTTATCTGTAGGGGAAAAAAAAAAATTCTTTCATTGCTGATATTTGTTCACAGCAATAGTAAATTTCAACATTTTTTCATATCTCACCGATACACTGTGGGAACTACAGAGTCCTGACATTCATTCTCAATGAGAAAAACAGGCTTGGCGTGTCAGATCACTTATGTTTGCGAGTCTTACTGAGAAAAAGTCTCAGCTTTAGAAACTGCATGCTCCCAAGCCAACTGAATTTAACTCAGTTTGTGCCTAGGAAATAACAGTAACTGGCACATCCAATGATCGAATCAAAATAGGTGGTGCAAGACAGTGATTTCCCTTATCTCGCAGGCAGACTGCGGGGCTGCAGTGGCTGTAGCTGCATTTTTTCTGGAGCAATGCTTATTCCTCTCTTTTCATCCTTCATATGGAAATCAGAGGCTGCCTCAGCATAAACTCCAGAGCCTGTCTTAAGATCTGCCTTGACCGGTCCCTGCGAAGCAGTCTACTGCAAGCCCGATCCCCTCCTTTGCCTCTCCATCAGCACAACCCCACTGCGGAGCCGATGCAGTTTGAAGGAACAAAGCTGAGCTCCTGCCACATTAGTGAACTGCACTCATCTCATTGCTTCCCATTTCATAATTTGATGAAATACTGAGGATGTTTCCTGAAAAGAAGGTTGCTGCTGCTATATTCCACGACTCCTGATTACAGCTACAATATGCTCTTATTACTTTTCTCTGAACTGGAAAATCTATTGGACTGTTTTGCTTTATCACTTCGTCTACAGTGCTGAACTGAAATTGCTCTCAAAACACATTCCTTTCCAACTCTTGTGGTTTTATACTGAAAAACACAAAGCATGAGAGGCTTGCAACACTCTCTCAAACACTATTTAACTCTTTCTACTTTGAACAACGTGAAATGAGGAAAGTGATTTCCCACATTCAAACGTGAAAAAGCAAACTTAGGTCAATGATAAAAGCTTTCAACTCTGAAGAAAGCAAAACAGCTTCTTGGAAGAGAAGAGATTATACAGTATGAATAAAAGCAGCAGGCAGAACTTTTCTCTCAGGCTGACAGTGTCAATCTCATGCGGAAAGAGTTCTGCTGGATTCCCTGATGCCTGCTTTCACCCCACTCACTTTTACCTGGTGCAACCATGATTTCGTTTTTCTTGGAGCGGATCCGCAGGAACGTGAGGTCATTCTGGGGATCAATGTCTCGCACAGTGCTCCTTGCCTTCATGATGAAGCTGTGCATGAGGCCCGCATACTGAATCGTTGCGGAGTTGTCCATAGTACTTTTGATAGGAATACCTGCAAGGAACAGGGGACAGCAAGGGTCAGTGACAAAACTCCAGAACTAACTCCGCCTTGGGCATCATCAGGTCCAACTGGGGTGGCTATTTAACCTAAGCAGATGTTGTCGCTACACCAGGGATTAGGAGGGTTCTTTTTAAAGGCTTAAAAGAAGAACATGAATAGAAGTAAGATGTGGAAAGGCTAAGATCTGGAACCACAGGCGTAGGTGAGAAGAACTGTTTACCTCTAGTAGCATCAGTGCTTTACTTTTGCTTTTTCATTTATTTATGAGATTGATAAATAGAAATAAATAATAACAAAAATAAATATCTTGGGGGCAGAGAGGAAATACCAATGTTTCAATTTTGTTCTCCTGACTGGGGACAACTTCTCCTTTCAGAAAGGCTCCTGAACATCACAGTTAAATGTACTCAAGTAAGCTAGGCTGGGATCAGTGTTGATTATAGAGGACATCAGCTGCTGCATCACACAGTTACAAAGCTGAGGCTCCACCATTTAGCCGTAACAGTTGATGCAGTCTTGCGAGGTCCCCGGTGCAATTCCTGTGCACCAGCCAAGAGGGCAGACACACTGATGCTGTTTGGCCAGAGCTTTCCCTCCCGTATACTTCTGCCACCCCTTACATATGTTTTCCACAAAAAGCCAGCCAAAATTCAGCTCACGTGTCAGAACAATGCAGCAGCCAACTACCAAATACTGGCATGGTGGAAAAGCTGCTGCAGCTGTATGTTCAAATAAGCACAGCTTCAGCCTGGAGAGCACTATCCATTATTCACTATCACGAACAAGCAGCGAGCAGGAAGACAAGCTGCATACAAGTATGCAATGATCCGATCTTCAGTGTATTCATACATAGCTACTACTAGAAAAGAAATAATATTTTCGAAGGATTATTTCTAGGAAATATTCAATTTAAATTGATCATCACACAATTTTAAGAAACTGGGCTGCTCACAGTGTATTTAGAGTGCTCTGAACAAGTCTGCTCTGTTGGACCCTTCAATGACTCCAAAAAGTGACAACTAGATTATGAGTCTTATGTGGCCATATACCTGAGACAGCTGCTAAGCTACTCGAGTCTGCCGAGACAGCAGCAAGATGTGAACATGCACAGCAGCAAGATTTCAGACGTCACAAGAGCTTTCAGTGCTACTGATAAAGGCTTTGACCGAACAGTCTCAAACACTGGCATAGCTCAAATATTTCTAAGCTTTTGCAATTTATTTAACTTATTTCCTAAAATAATAAAGTGAGCTTTCAGAAAAGCAGAAATGGGAATCCAATTTTCTCTTGTAGCCTAACTATTGTCTATCTGCTTTGGCTACAGGAAAACCTTTGCTAAAGACAGACTGTAATCTAAATGCAAGTAGTGCAATCAGCGGTCCTTAAAGTGCATGTTTAGAATAAGTTACATCTCAGAAAACCGAGACTGACACAGTACCTTCAGAATTAACAACAATGATTCCTTGCACTCCTTTTTGGCTCTGAATTCGCTTCAGCGTTTCTTCCACCTCAGCCTGCAAACAGAGAAAGCACAAATCAATAGAAGATTACAGCTGCTATTTGCCTTCCACCAAAGGTTTTCAGTAATGCGTCTGAAAATAAAGCTGCAGAAAGATGATTCAAACAGATACCACCTACACCGTTCTATACAGCAAAGTGTCCATACTTTGGTACTACCTTTTCTGCACGACCTTTTCAGTTGTTTTCCACCTGTCTTTTGCTCTTCACTCATTTATGATTATAATCTTGTGGCAACTTGGAACTCCCCTCTAATCTTTCCCGCTCTCCTCCTCCCCAACCCTCCCACAACCTCATGCATCAGTTCCTCACTGTAGGCTCGCAACTGGAAGACTGCTTAGTCAGGCTGCTACAATTTAGGCGTCAAACAAAAATCATGTATGAAAATACACAAGGAATTTATGAAAAAAGTAGAAGAAGATACATTCTGGGTGCAAGACCACCTTCCCTTTTATCAAATGAATGCTAAGAGCAATTACAAATAAGAAAAGTGAGGGGAAAAACAATGAATAAATGCTATTTATTTATCATTACGATTTGCGCTAGGATAGCTACAAGATTAGAACCATTAAGAATAATTTACAACTTTGCAAAATCAACTTAAAAAAAGGAAAAATGAAAACTGATGGCCAAGGCAGTAATCCCTTTGCCTTCTCTGTAAAAATCACTATCAACTTCAGAAAAGCTTTCAAACCCTTCTGCACAACTTCCATTGCTACAAGACATCCATCAAAAATTAACTATGGGCTCTCTAACAGGGTGATAAAACCCCAGCACCTGAGCTGTTTTCCACAGCTGGGTGAATATTTGACAGTTTCTATTCCCGTTAAAGGAAACAGAGACACTCCTAGGTTCGCCTAAAAAAACGTGTCTTAGTAGACCATTTCAGTTTTCCACCTGCAACTTAGGTCAGTATTTATTTCTTTAGAAATTTTTCCAGGTTTTGATCCCCAATTTCATGAATATGCACTAGCCAACGACACATTCGAGCAGGAAGCAACCTCCAATACAACTGCAATAAAATGAATACGTTCCAGGTTCCACAGGCTACTGAACAGCCGGTTGCCTTAAAACAGTCTCCTTTCCTGACGGCTTTCGGAATGGTAACCCGGCAGCCGTAAGAAATACAAAGGTTTTCCTCCGAACCCTGTATCTTCAGCCTGCCATCGCACGGCGTGCTTCAGCGCCTGGCAGAACTAACCGAAGGTCCACGGGAGCGATGGGCTTTCCACCGCAGTGACTCCGGGA